CGCGCGCGCCCAAATGCATCCAAACATGAACACACACGCTTAAAAACCTGTACATGCGTACACACACCAGCAAACATACATGCATACTTTGTGTGTGTGTTTTTTTTTAACTGATTTTGATCCTCCTCTAAATGTGTTCCATTTATGGTTTGCATCAACACCTGAAGTCCTGAAAAAACTAAAAAACAAACAACCAAAATCCAAAAGTTTAAATCTGCACTGCTTTTGCTGAGTATTCATGGTCTCCAAATGACCTCATGGACCCATCAACATCCTCTGTTACTTTTCCTTCATCGACTCCTGTTCTTTTTCCTCTTAGCATCCCTCCTCACCATTCTGTCTGTTTGCCAAACACCACAACTCTACTCATCCTGTCCTCTCTCTTCTCTCCCTCCCACGCTCCATTCTTCTCCAGGCCATTAAGAGCTATCATGAAGCTAATTGCCTGTTTGATGAACTCTCCATGGACCTGGAACTCAAGGCTTTTAGCCGTCTGAGCTTAAGAGGAGAGGCGAATGAGACATTAGGGATATACAATGCAGTATGGGTGTGTAATGTGCCTTGTGTCGGCTCTTTTTGATGGTTGGGTCATTTTTAGTATTGTTTGGATCAGTTTTAGACCTTTTGCCTTTACCTGTAACTAACCGATATTATTCGAAGTTTTGTCCAGGGAGGCAGGAGCTAATGAAATTTTCAATCCAATTTCAGTAACAGAAAATGAAATTGTGATTGAAGCTCAGGTCCAGCTCTAGGGTATTAAATACTGCTATTTTGTCAAAGCCACTGGTGTCTCATACATACGTAGAATGTTTGCTTTGGTGGTACTCCTGTCGTACATCCTGGCTTCACATGAACGCTGGCCTCAGTACTCCAGGTAAGCCTGTTTTTTCAAGGGGTATTTTCAAACCTAACCACTCCTAACCAGGAAGTGAAAGAACAAAGTGAGTGGAAATTGCACCAATCAAACAAAGAGCAAAGCCCCAGACTGAAGATCAGAACATGCTGTCTCCTGGCTGACACACTCCTGGTTAACAAGCGGCCGTTATTCTCAGCATTGAGTGTGACCTCCAAAGGTGCGTAAAGGCACTGGGCCCAAAGCAACCCTCCTGCATATCTGTGCAACAGCAGCTTCTGGCAAAAGCACAGCATTTGATACCCTAGGATGAGGATTCATTGGTATATCAACCTTTAAGGCCCCGCTAGCACTTTTAACTTTTTACCTTATTAGCTTCCTTGTGTGTCCTTTTCTTCTGCCAAGTAGTCAACAGCTTTTTAGGTTATAGGACGCAATGTCTCCCTATGTTAACCCAAGAATTTGCTTTTAAGTGCTAAAACACTTAATGGATTATATAGACGAATGGTTCATTAAGAATATGGTTTTCAAAACCCTCCAAGCATTTGGATCATCTGGAAGTTCAGAAATGGCATTTGATTTCAGAATGGGTAGAGAACTGATGGGTGGGGTGGGGGGTGTTTATGTGTAGTAGTGGAGTAGAGGATTGTGAAGGAGGTGGGTCAGAGGAGAGAGCGAGGGAGGTTGGCGACAGGCTGGCTTCAGGAGGAAACCCGACCAGACCCTCAGAGCTCCAGCGAAGCAGGACTGCTAAAAATAACACAAGGCAGGCTTCTTCTGCTGATAAAACAACAAACACACAGGCTCATACACAGGTTGTTGCACAGTAGGAGGACACACACAGACGGACACGCACGCACGCTGCCTCACAATAGATGCATCCTCCCTCTGGTTAAATAATCCCCCAATGAGCTCTAGGCTCACAGGGAAAACATTGTCCATCTACCTCACAGTGCTTTTCGTTTACAAATGAGCTTAATAACATTGAAATTCACACCGTTTGTTACAGTGAATGGTCCCTTTTTGGTGTCAAACTGTTGTCACAGGTGTCGTTCATCTCACTTTATATCTTGGTGCTTTGCTGAGTCTCAGTAAGATGTTCACCTCAGTACAACACTGGTTTCCTCGTTCATCTTTAACGTTTTTTCAAAGTTCTGAATCTCGTTGTAGTTTTAACCTCCATCTCTCACACTTCTTCTGATCAGGTCAGAATCTGTTTGCAAAGTCCATATGCAGGCTTCTTTCCTTTGTGAGCGATTCCTTTGCAAAGAATTAGCACAGAGAGTGGCAAAGGGTTGAGAAGGGAGGAGATTCAATAATAAATAAATACATTTTAACATGCCGAGATTGCACCATAGAAAGCATGTTTTTTTTGTTTTGTTTTGCCTTGTTTTTTGTCTTGGTGTCTTGGTTAAGGTTTAAGGATCGGTCCAGCAAAGCAAAACAGCTTCTTATTCTTCAACATAGGCATTAATTCTCCAACATAAGCAGGCACATTAAAGCTTTGGTCCCTCCTGAGTTGGAGAAATAAAGGTACGTTAGGTGAACAACTTGGTTGTTTGGTTGGTTGGGTGATTGGTTGGCTTGTCATACGTAGGTAGTTGGGTCACAATGGCACTGTCGTCATGATGTCAACTGAGGGACCGTTGATTGGTGACAGCATTGCTTTTGGCCACATCTGAGGGGAAATTCATTTACTTGGCCCTCATTCAAGCCTGTCATAACGGTTTCTCCAGAGCTTTGCTGCGGAGCGAGGGATGGCAAGGATTAGGGTTGGAATTGGAAATCTTGCGGCACACAGTGTTGGTGTTGCTGCACCTGCAGCCGGGCCGCGTAGCCCGGTCGTGGGCACACCGGCACAGAGCAAGGCACAGCCTGGCAGGGGGGTAGCAGCAAAGGCAGGGCAGACATAGCGCCAGCAGTCCCATTGTGCTCCAGCGGGCACAGGCATGGGCTGGAGCACAGGAACATGGCTGGTCAGCACAATTATCTTCATCATCCTGGGCAGAGCAGTGATAGAATAAACCTTTAACACAGCACAAGCATGTGCCATACTCCACGGCATTCTCAGCAGAACACAGACAGCGTTGTCCACAGGCCCAGCAAGAAGGCAGGCGGCGTGGGGCGCAGCACTCTTGGCATTTACAGCGGCCACACCTCTCACAGATGAACTGATGGAGACTGAGTTCAGCCTCATCTTCCGCCAGGCGTTTACCAAAAGAATCAGGCTTCAGGTCCCCTTTAGGCTGTGAATGGACCACCGAACCTAAGCCAGAGTGAGATGGTGTCAAACCTGCCAGTAGCCGCTGGTCTGAGGTGGCACTTGTTCGTGACATAGAAGAGCTTATGGTACTGGAACGGCTCAAATGGGAAAGATGAGTGTGCTGCTGTTGACTTTGGCTGCGGGACATGGCTGAAGGGAAGGAAGGCTGGGGGTGATGGATGTATGCACCGTGAGGGTAACGGTCATCGTGGACCAAAAAGAATCCAGACTGCGTTGCAGGTTCCAGTGCCACGGGCCGCTCCACATAGTCATTGTTAGCCCGAATGGCACGTATCTGGTCAAGCGACAGCACTGAGTCCAGCTCCATCCTGAAGGAATGAGTAGAGTCCATCCTGGTCAGCCTGCTGGATGGCACCAGGGTTGGAAGCCGGGTCTGGGGCAAAGTGCTCCCGGTGCTCAAGGCACATCAGATAAACCTGCAAACACAAAGAAAGGAAGCAATAGTGATTATTGGTTCTAATTTTTCATAAAATTCTGGGTTATAACATCTCTCTATGAGATACATAAGAACTATTTTTAACTATCAGGAGTGACTTTAGTAAAATGCATCAATAAAAACATGTAATTGGAAATTTTAAGCCACTTCTACACATGGTAGAAGTGGCTTTGGTATTGGGTTGGCATTCAACATTCTACATTCAATTTATACCAGGCATATTTTCTGTAATCACAATTATATTAACTAATAAACCTTTCATTTTTGTATATGTCAGATGTTGTTGCTTCATTTTTATGAAGTCAAAGAATGATTTCTTTTGAGTGTATGGTGTATATTTAGTGTTATGTGGAGAAAAATGTTGTGAAAAGCAAACAGTAGCCTGCATGTTGCTCTCCAAAACTTTAAGAAGCATTTGATCAGGGATGGATTTTGGCTGCAAAACCTCCACACAACCATCAACCGTGTCATCATGACCGCTGAGGCGCTCCACTGCTCAAGCTAACACTATTATTAGCCTGCCAGAGCCAAAGAGACACAACCATGAGGTTCACACTGTAATTTAACATCTGTTGAGCACAGCTGCTGATGCCATGGAGGAATCCCACCTGCAGACAGAGGCTGGCAGTGTGGCCAAGCACTTGAGCAACAGAGAAATGGCTTTAAAAATGGTTTAATTGAGATATATATATA